TAGTTTTACTACTCACCTAACAATTGCAAGTTTATTTGATAGTGAAAAATTTAAAGATTACCGAGGTTGTTTTCCAAATGAGGACGTTAAAACTGTGTGTAGTTTATTTCCAAACAAACAGCTTAAAATTCAAAAACGAACTGTCCATACTTTACACCCGAGATGACTTTGGGCAACACAATGGGGCCGTACCGTTATTACAAATGTTTTTTGAGAACAATTTGACAATTACATTTTCGGAATCTGTGGAGCTGCTAACTATCCTGTATACAATTCCCGTGACCACAGTGGAGAGTGAAAAATGTTTTTCGACACTAAAACGTATTAAAATATTTTTAAGGAACACTATGTGCCAAGATAGATTGTGAGCGTTAGCCATGTTATCCATTGAAAAAAAACTTATTCGGTCCATTCCAAATTTTAATAATCTGGTCATCGATAAATCCAGAAGAATGGACTTCAACTATAAGAAATAGTATATAACTGCAGCGGTACCTAGCAGTTAATCTTCAATTGTGTAACATTTAATTTGTTTTGATATATATTTAATTTTCATTAAGCGGAGAAATTGTTTTCCTAAAGGAAAAACGAATCCCGGGATTCCTTTCCAGTATGTGCCTCACTGCCGCTAGTGCCCACGAGCCGCCACTGTATTTTAAATAAATGAACTATAAATAAATTAGATTATCGGCACAATATGTAAAAGTATTTACGAAAAACGCAATGTAAAAATGCAACATTGTGAATAATAAATAATAATTCCCACTTTACGTTGGATATAATCACATTTAAATAAGATAATAGTTAGTTTTTAAGTACTTTATTTACCTTTACCTTGAACAGGCACCTAAAACTACATAATACTTAACTAGATACTAGCATACATAAGAACATAGTATATTAACCAATACATATCCTATTTATCAATATTGTTAAAAGCATTGACAACTAGACATTTTTCATAATTTTCGACAAGAAAGTTTTATTTTATCCGCATACATATCTTTATACATCGAAAAGCTTCGTTCTACGTCTACAGATGTAATAGGGGCATAATTCAAATGGGGTAAAATATTTAAATTGATTTTCGTGTTTGATTCAAAGTACCCCGCCAATAGTTTCGACACTTTTTAAAATTTAAAACCCCTCATTTTTTTCTAGCACAGCGTAATTTTTCCTATTTTCCTTAAATTTTTTTTAAATGCATTCTCCGCATTATCTAATAATTCAACAGTTTCAACTAAAGATACAGATGTATTTTGTAATTGCACAAGGATTTTTGACAAAAAGGAATAATTTGATTTTATGTAAACAAGTTGATGTGATAATTGTTCATTTTTACTTTCCTATCTCTTTACAGATAAGGAAAGTATAGAACTCGTGATTTTGTTCGACCTCGAGTTTTCGACGTTTTTTTTTTACTTTTTACGTTTTTTTACGTTTTGGGGTCCCCTAAATCCGTTTTGACTATTTTCGAGATGATGTGTGTGTGTGTGTGTGTGTGTGTGTGTGTGTGTGTGTGTGTGTGTGTGTGTGTGTGTGTGTGTGTGTGTGTGTGTGTGTGTGTGTGTGTGTGTGTGTGTGTGTGTGTGTGTGTGTGTGGTGTGTGTGTGTGTGTGTGTGTGTGTGTGTCTGTGTGTGTGTCTGTGTGTGTCTGTGTGTGTCTGTGTGTGTCTGTGTGTGTCTGTGTGTGTGTGTGTGTGTGTGTGTGTGTGTGTGTGTGTGTGTGTGTGTGTGTGTGTCTGTGTGTGTGTGTCTGTGTGTGTGTGTGTGTGTGTGTCTGTGTGTGTCTGTGTGTGTCTGTGTGTGTGTGTGTGTGTGTCTGTGTGTGTCTGTGTGTGTCTGTGTGTGTGTGTGTGTGTGTCTGTGTGTGTCTGTGTGTGTCTGTGTGTGAATGTGTGTGTGTGTGTGTGTGTGTGTGTCTGTGTGTCTGTGTGTGTCTGTGTGTGTCTGTGTGTGTGTCTGTGTGTGTGTCTGTGTGTATGTGTGTGTGTGTGTGTGTGTGTGTCTGTGTGTGTCTGTGTGTGCCTGTGTGTGTCTATGTGTGCCTGTGTATGTCTGTGTACGTGCGTGTGTGTGTGTGTGTGTGTGTGTCTGTGTGTGAATGTGTGTGTGTGTGTGTGTGTATGTGTGTGTGTGTGTGTCTGTGTGTGCCTGTGTGTGCCTGTGTGTACCTGTGTGTGTCTATGTGTGCCTGTGTATGTGTATGTGTGTGTGTGTGTGTGTGTGTGTGTGTGTGTGTGTGTGTGTGTGTGTGTGCGTGTATGTGTATGTGTGTATGTGTGTGTGTGTGTGTGTGTGTGTGTATGTGTGTGTGTGTGTGTATGTGTATGTGTGTGTGTGTATGTGTGTATGTGTGTGTGTGTGTGTGTGTGTGTGTGTGTTTGTGTGTGTGTGTGTGTGTGTTAAAATTGTTCAAAAAAAAGTTGTTTGTTATATAATTTTCTATACTTTTTGTCCTATACATAATTTTTTTAAAATGGACCGTTCTCGAATTATTTGAAAAATTGTGTAAGTTTCGAATTTTGAAGAAAACTCAAAAATAGATAAAGGAAAAACATTAAATTTCAAACTTACGTTTTATTTCGTCCTGAGGTAAAATAATTAGATGGGAGTATCTGGGGGGGTACTTTATAGGTCGTTTTCATATTTTATGAAATATATCTGTTATTTAAGTTTGGAGAAAAAAATTGTTCAAGTAAAAGTTAGTTCTAATATTATTATCTCTATAATTTGTATACATGAATTTTCTAAAATGGAAAAATTAGAGGAAAAGTGCTAAATTGAAATTTTTCAGTATTTTATTAATTCGTAATGTTCCGCATAAAATAAAGCTGCATCAAGCCATGTGCCGCACCGGGTTGTTATTGGTTTGGCGATAGCGGGATATCTGGAAGATTTTCTTTATATAATTGGATTCTTAATGGCGATTTAAGAAAAACTTTTCTGTTACTTATCAAATTAATAACGATTGGAAATTGAGATCGAATTGATTCTGCAACTCTATTATTACCGTAAGCCACATACGTTACATGGATAAGGTTCCAGTTTAATCATACATATAAGGGGCAGCATCCGACAATAAAAGTATACATTTACTAGAAGGGACAAGTTCTGGTAAAAAAAGTTAGTTAGTGAATGCTGTACAAATCTAGTCACAGTTAAATTGTTTTTTTCTTTAAGGTTCTGTGATGACTTGAGGTATGCTTTCCCTGGTTTATCTTTATGTAGAATTCCAATTAATAAATGTACAATACATCTACGAGAATCGGTGGTTTCATCAATTACAATATAAAAGTTTTTATCAGATATATTTTTTATACACAACATTGTGTCTTTATATATACAATCAACATGCTTTTTTCTTAGTGTATATTTAGTGTATATTTATCTGGTACATTGAACTTTCAATAATTTTGCAAAAATTACTTTAAATTTACATTATTTAATTTATTAAAGAGTATATTTGCTAAAATTATTGCTTTGCATAAATCTTCGTTGAACTGCATTTTTGATTGTTTCTTTGCGAACTTGGTTGAATACAATTTTTTCAAGTTTGCTGTGTTCTTACACCTTCTTGAAATTTTCACAATGCTGCAATGTGTTTTGATGTTTTTACATGTTGATCCACGATGAACTTTTTGTCGGCGTGGATCTTAAAGAACAGAGAAACGCAAGTTAAATGTAGCAAGTTTTAAACAAGAAATATTTAGGCATTATGAATTAAATGGAAATTAAATTAGTATGAAAGTAGGTAAAGAGTATATGTATAATAGCTACTTACAATTTTTGAAAACACTGTGCAAAATACATTGTCGTCGTCCCATGAAATCTCTGGATTCACCTTTATCCACAATTGTTTAAATTTCAATTTTGGCATTTTCTAGATAAATGTATTCGTTGCTCTAATAAAATAATACAGAATAACCCAAGGCCAAACAAGACACGAACTAAACTTCAGCTTTTTACATCTTAAAATCTAAATTTTTGTATACCTACTTATCCACCCTACAAAGAGATTACATGTTTTTCCAATAAAATTGTCAAATCATCCGTAATGGAGGTAATGTCAGTTTACGATGTATTGCACTTGGAAATTTACGTGTTTTTTACGAGGCCCTGCATTCATAGAAAACGTCAATTTGAGCCATATTCGAGCGGTCTACTGGTTTAAACATATTTCATGCGGTTCGAAACTGGTTTCAATTATTCCCATTCGAGTGACCAAACAATGAAATAGGTTTAAACCAGCTGCATCTGTTTTTGAAACGTTTCATTGAGAACGGTTCAAGGAAATAGAAATGTCATTAATGTCAAAAATAGTAGCGTAGATCATGCATTAAAATTAATTATCAAAAAAGATCTTTTATATTACTGTTTTAAGGAAAAATAGAAAATGCATAATTATAAAGGTTTATAATTTTTAATAATTTTTGAAAATTTGACTTTGTAATTCTAAATAACTGGTTAAAGTCGGATTCTAAATATAAGGATCCATTTTTCATAAAACTTTGGTAATATATGAGCTTTTTTTTGAAGCAAAAAATTATCTGTCGCTAGAGATTTACACACTCACAAATCCTTAACTGTTAGTGACATCACTGTTTTAAAATCATCCATTTGAGCGCTTTCAAAATATATGACGAAGTATTAAAACTGGTTCTAAAAGTTATTGAAAATATTTTTAAACCAAAGAGACCACTCTAATATGGCTTAGGTATTTACGATAATTGTTTTATCATATGACTAACAGATAGGTAGCGCATGTTGTTTTATTCACACTATGTCAATTTAATTAGGACTGTGGACCATGTTTGTACCTAAATAACTAAAATGTAAAATTGTGTTTAAAGTTTTTTTTATATTTTTTAATTTGGTTTAGTATGACCACGATAAGTTTAATTTTACATTTCTTGTGTACCAATCTTCAATAAACGAGATTTGAATGTTACACAATTTTTATTTTACAAAATGGGCATTGAAAGTTTTTCTCTTTTTAGCTCAAATGCTGGTAGCCGTAGCAGGAGCTAACCTTGTATGGACATCGCCCGCTTTGATTAAACTGTATTCAAATGACACGCAAATAAATCCACTTCGAAGACCTATTAAAACAGTAGAAGTTTCCATGGTAGCAGGAATTCCGTCTTTACTGGGCTTAGCTGGTAGTTTCATGTTACCCAAACTATCTGACGTTATAGGAAGAAAGAAATATTTGATGCTTATTGGATTGGGGACCCTTATAGCTGGTGTAGCATTAGCTTTTAGTATGGAAATTATTTATATAATCATATCAAAATCTTTACTCAGTTTCTTTTTATCCGGTGCTTGGACTATTATACCAGTATTTGTAGCTGAAATTTGCGAAAATCACAATAGAGCTAAATTTGGTTGCTTCTTGGGACTCTTTCACGAAATTGGCCATTGCTACGCTTACGTTGTAGGTCCTCTTTTTTCTCTAAAGAATTTCACTTTGATAATAACTGCACCAGCATTGGTTTTTCTAATGATCTTCGTCATAGTTCCCGAAAGTCCCATTTATTTATTATCGAAAGGAAAAGAAAAGAAGTGTAAAGAAGCCTTAAGGAAATTTAGAAATAATAAAAGCGAAGAAGAGTTAGAAGCGGACTTTGTTCAAATAAAGGAAACTTTAAAAGGTAGAGCTGAGACTAATAAAGGCAACGTGTTGGATTTGTTTAGGAAAAGAGAGAATAGATTTGCTTTATTGTTGGCTTTACTTCCGTTATTAGTTCAATCTTTTTCTGGTATATCGATTTTAATGACCTATTTGGCACCGGTTTTTAATGCAGCTGGTACCAGTATTTCAGGGGATATTGTAGCTATTATTATTTCGATTGTCAAAATATCGAGTTTTACTTTTACTTCTTTTGTGGTAGAAACATTCGGCAGAAAGAGAATGCTACTAATTTCAGCCACAGGTAGTGGTGTTCCACTTCTTGTGTTAGGTCTGTATTTCTATTTACAATACATTAATTCCGCTTTGTTAGACTCTATGCAGTGGCTTCCTTTATTTGCACTTCTGTCTAGCACCTTGATGTTTTCAATAGGTCTTGGTCCAGTGCCATTTGCATTGATTAGCGAACTGTTCCAAACTGATCTTAGGGCAGCTTCTAGTGCTGTTATAAACACACTTTTTAATATTGTAATGTTTAGTTTAACTGCTTGTTTTCCGCTAATTTCTGAAGCGTTTGGAATTCATTGCTGCATATGGCTGTTTAGTTCGTGTTCCTTTCTTGGGGCAATTTTAATTTATTTCTTTTTACCAGAATTGAAAGGTAAAAGTTTTACTGAAATACAAGAAATGTTAAAAATGTATTAACGATAGTAATGAAAATAAACATAGAGGTAAACATTTTTTTTTTATTAAAATTTGTTCTATCAACTTCTTTGATAAGAAGATTGTATAGTATTTGAGTAAGTCTAAATTAACTTTTAACTTACCTTAAATAACTATTGTTGGCAATTTTACCTAGAGTCGCCTCTGGTCAGAGAGATAAGCATATAATGACAACGATGCATGAATATTCAGGCTTTTTGTCATTACCATGTTGGTGTTTCACAGGCATCATTCTCACTGTTGCCAATATGAGGGTAAATGCTTATATTTCTAAGCATTTGAAACTTGTGGAGCAAAAGTGGGAGCATTGACCCAACGACTTTATATCTACTATCTACAGGATAGCCGAGTTTCCCGACTTCTTTCCGAAGCTGTTACGTCACCGTCAGTTCACTTTCAAACGTAGGCCATTTGAAATGTACAAAAATACCATCTTCTTTTTTTTGAAATTACACTCGTTAACTTTTTTTTTGTTTAAAAAATAAACTTTATTTTGTACAATATATTATATTTTTTTTGTTAGTTTATTACATAGAAATAGTATAGAAAACCAATTCCATATATCAAAAATGAATCGATAAAGAGAAAATAGTGTATCGGAGCTCATGCGTATAACGGTGCTGGCTCGAACAGGACCGGTGCAAGTTTTTTATTGATCGAACAAATAGTTTACAAGATGTTTCAGTCATACACTTTTAGAGATGATTCTATATAAAAAAACGATGAAAAAAATACAAGTATGGTAAATATGGTTCTGAAAGTCCTTATTAAGAAAGATATGACATAAAATATAAATTAGTTAATTTTTGGCAATCATTAATGCTATAGTCACGATATTTTGCATGTGATCTGACATCTTATTTGATTTAGTATCATCATTTGCTACAAGTAAATTTAGTCTGGAGATATTATGGTCAATATTTTGTTACATTTTGTCAGCCGAGACTATGAGCCGTTACTTACAATTATTAAAAAACCTTTTATGTTACTATTTTCAATATAAATTATCCAAAGATGTCTGCATCTCCCAAGATTCAAAATTAAAAAATACTACATTTACTTGGTACTTGATACATATTTTATTTTAATTTTGAACCCTTTTAAAAGGATCTTTCGGTTCCATATTGAAAGTTAGTCGCTGCTTACTAGAAACATTCTGTATAGTCTAAACCAATTTACGGATTGTTTTAGATCAGTTAAATATAAAGATTTAAAGTTTTTTGTCGTAGATTACATTCCACATCAGCACATTGCAAACCTATTTGATAGATAATAAGAATAAACTTGTAAATTATTAATTTGGTAGTTATCTCACTTATAATTTTTTTGTTTATATGACTCTTTTGATTTATAAATATATTTTGGCCTTACATTACCAAGGGTTTTGTATCTAACACTGTTTTTATTGAACGATGAATGTTGACAGGCGTTCACCTTTTTCGGAACAAGAGGCGCTTTAACGACGGAAATGATTTCCGAACTATCCAGTTAGTTTTCGGAAAACTAGAAAACGTTTAAATAAAGTCGTCAATAATATTAGCGTGTTGTTCATGTGTTTCATTTTGATCAGCTTTCATTCTAAATTGCATAGAATACTCTTCCTCCGATTCGAAATCGAGATATATTATTTCTATGGTTTATTATAAGAATAAGTTCAAATTTATAAACAGAAAATGTCCCAAAAATTAAATACAATGAGTAGAAGTTATATCTTACATTTTACGAAAAAAATTATTCTCGATAAAAAGTTTTGCATCACTTCGAAATCAAAAATCGAGCATTGAATTTTTTAAAATGTAAGTGCTATACAGGAAAAATAATAGTGTAAAATACTCTTAAATTTCAATAGAGAGCAAAATGTTAATAGGAATTAAATGTCAAACCAAATATGTAAACACACGTGTCTTGCAAATATTTTCATGTATAAATAAGCTGTAAGGTAACGTAAATTTATTATAAAAAAAATAAAAGATACTTTTAGGTATAAGGGGAAAAATTATATTTTACACAATATATATTGTTGTGGTTTTATTAACCTCACAATTTAAAAAAAAAATACACACTAAACTTCACTTACCCTTGCTAGCTTCTTAATATATTTTAGCACCTTTTTTTTAAAAGCAGATTCTCTTTATATCCGTGGTGTCGGTTCAAATTTTATACTTTATTAAATTTATTTTATTTAACTTAATTAATTTATTAAATTTATTTTATTTAGTTTCTATAGTTTCTATAGTTTATTTATTGAATAGTAAAAACAATAATTGCAACAATACAAAATACCTTCAGTTATTGATTATTATGTCTATTGCTCTATATTGATAATTATGATTAAGGATGTTGTTAATATAATAATTAGTCAATAAAATTATATGTTAATATTTGTTACCATCGTTAATTGTATCATCCTATAAGTTTTTTTTAATAAATAGACAAATTGCAAATACAAAAGCTTTCCAATTTATTATTACTATATCAACACATTATTTAAAATTCTGAACATTGAATCAATTGCCTATCCACTAATTTATTTATACTAACCAAACATTCATCCACAGTCACACTTATTAATTACTAATATTATACAAAATTTGACGAACAAATAATTAAATTACTCTTTGAAATTTGAAATCTAAGTCGATATATGCCAACGTGACATTCATCAAAATTCTGACATTCCCATTATCAGCTATATATCAATAATTAAAAAAAAACTCCAATAAAATGACTATTTTCCTATTCTAAAACTACATATAGTCTTTGTAAAATTATTAAAATTGATATCAAATTGTCTCTTTAGACTCTCGCACTAATAATAATGTGATTTACTCACAGGATAATGTCTCTCCTTCTATCCAGATCCAACTTCCACAGTTCTTATCCAGTTTTCATTTCATGTCTTCAGGTTTGAGCAGACTTTTGTACGTATTTGAGTCACTGTACAATTTCACCCACTTAATCTATTGTACAACTGTGTTATACAACTTGTCTATTTTGCTTCTCTATAATACAATTATTATGATTCTTTGTAAATATTGAATTTATCTAAATTAGGGCTTTTCTCCTAGAAATTTGAAAGTTCATCCTCTGTCAGATTTTTTTTTTTTTAAATCAACCTTCATATCCCTTTTTCGTCTCCACCAAAGAATACCTACCCAAGAAGCGAAACTGAATTAGTTTTCGTATGTACCAAAGCAAGGGAACTTAATACACTGGGAAACGTATGAAAATTAATCAATTTTTGTCGTTTGGTTCATAAGAATTAAAAACATACTAAAATAACAATGATAAAAAATTCTTACTATGTTCATTATGTCAAATAGAATATTTTAATAAGAAATAAGTACTGTAGGTATAATAATGACAGTCTCTACACAATAGCGAAAGCAGATGACCTGGTCATTCTGCAAATAGGGAATTTTGAGAACAATTATGGAACAGTGGTGCAATGACCATTTACTGTTTATCAATCCCGAGAATACAGAAATGGTCCTTTTTACAAGGAAACTGATGAAAATTTAATTTAAACCTACAGAGCTCCCAAACACAAAGCAAAATTTTGCGACCGAGGTGAATTACCTAGGTAGCACTTTTGACAACAAGTTTATATGGAACTCATACTTAGAAAACAGAGTCAAAAGAGCATACATTACTTAAGAACAATGTCGCTGAACTGTGAGGCGCACCTGAGTTTTCTCCCCCAGAGTCATCACATGGACTTACATGGCCATCATAAGACCTATGCTAACAAATGGTGCAGTTGTCTGAGTACCGAAAATCCAAAATAGAACAAATTCAAATAACTGCATGTCTCAACATAACAGGAGCCATGAAAACCACATTAACCAAAGCCATGGAAGTTACTCCCCTTGATATTTATATTAAGGAGGTTACTCTGAAGATAATGACACACCTCTTCACGGTTGAAATAGAACCTGATGTACGATCTAGTGAGGCGAGACGTCGCTTTTGACGAAAGGCGCTCGATATACTCATCTCATCTCACCGATATATATCTTCCATAAGCCATATGAAGATATAACAACAAATTGAAGAGCCAGCCGGAAGTGGCAGGTACGATTCATATCTACACCGACGGTACTAAAACCAAACAATGCTCAGGATGTTGAATATAATCCAATTCCTTAAATCTCAACATAAAATGGACTGTGAGCAATAGTGCCAATGTAGTTCAAACCGAGCTCACGGAGGTTCTGATAGAAGCAAAAGAAATCACCAGAATCAATATCACTGGTAGGAACATGCTTATCTATATAGATATCAGATAAGCACTATTTGTCCTGAACAAACTACGAATTTACTCAGGGTTGGTACTAGAATGTCTCGCAGCTTTGAAAAGAATATCCATCCAACAAAGTGGTCACCTTAAGATGGATCAAAACTGACGCCACATCGAAAGGTAGCGTTCTTGCTGATTCACTACCCAAATACTTTTTGGGCCTTGTCCTTCTATTGTACTGACAACATCGGTAGTGACAGACCTAATTAAAGAATATTCTCTTGTGAAATTGAAGGAAAGATGGAATGAAACAAGAAACTGCAGAGTTACCAGTGAGCTTTTAAGTTATCCTGGCAACACAACAACAAACAAATACTTGACTATGACTAGACAGAATCTACGTCTGATCACAGTAATTCTGACTGGACATTGCCAAGTCCGAAAGCATCTCCCTTTCGCAAGGCTGCCAGAATCCTCACCCTGCAGGGTGTGCGAACAAAAAGATGAGATCATTGAGTATATCCTTTACGATTGCTTATCGCTCTCCCCAGACAACACACCAAATCCCAGAGATATCCGCAGAATATCTTTTGTGGATATCCAATATATCCACAGGATATCATAAATATTCCATGGATCTAATATGGATATCCAAATATCCGTCTATATCCAGGATATAGAAGATATCCTAATGGATATTCAGCAAAATATCTAATGGGTATCTTCCCGAAAATACAAGAAATCACAGAGATATCCACAGAATATATTTTGTGGATATTCAATATATCCAATATGGATATCCAACCAAATGTCCGTCTATATCCCAGGATATAGAAGATATTCGAATATTCAGCAAACTATTTTATGGGTATCTTTAGTAGAAGTTCATAAGTAACCAATGATTATTGAATAACGTCTAAAGAAAATAGCAGAGATAAAAAATATTTTCAACACTCAAAATATTTTCAACACTCTGCCTTTGATTTTGCCCACTAAGGAGAAAGTCATCCTTATTAGGACTCTTCAGCAATAAATGAAAATTCACGACTCCAGTCTCTAATGGAATGAATGGGACACACATTTCGATCGAACTCAATTACGGCGGGTTGAGTATGAGTAGATGCGATAGTGGTATCGCCATCTATACTTAGTAAGCAGAATCAAATAACATCTAGTGGATATCCACGATGGTTTGCGTTCGCGCCTAGACTTTGATATATTTAGTGGGATATTGAATACACCTTAAAAAAATTAATTTTAAATATCTGAACGGTACTATTAGCCACAATGGCGAGCACAGTGGCGTAATTTTTTAATAATTTGCTATATAATTACTATTATTTATGGACATTTGCATGTCTATAAATTACATTTCATGGATATAAAATAGATATCTACCATGGACTGGACATTCAGTGGATATTAGGATGTTAAGTAGATATCCAAAGGATTTGGTATGCTGTCTGGGTCATTTATTAGAATAATATATAAAAATAATCAACGATAAGAAAACATTTTTAAATCACTATATAGAGGCAAATGCATGTGCAATTGCAAGATTTTTTTATTATTATTACTTAAATATTTATAAAAAAAAATTGAAACTTTAAAAAGTCTGGAAACGGCCAATTATCTCATACATTGTTAATCCTAATTGTACAAAATTTGAAGTGCACCTATTTTTGGATACGGAGATTCCAAATTTGATATTTGCAATGTTGCGAGAGTTACCGTTTGTCTTATATTATTAGTCACTTTGGTTTTTCAAATTCATCAGCCTGTATATTCAGTCATTATTGGAATCTCCCATTTAATACGAGTTCAACCGTTTGTAACACTTAAGATTTAATGTAGTCTGGAAGGTCTTAAATAAATAAAACAATCGTGGAGAAATGTTGTAGACGCATTCTACCATCGATTAGGGTACTGTCAACTCACAAATGGAGCACACTTGATTAAGTAACCATTATGTTTAAAATGTTTTATTCTTTCAATTGTTACGTTTTAATGTAGTTGAAAATAGTTTGTATTAAAAAATTTGTTGAGACAATTAGGCGTTGCCAGACTTATTCTATTTATTTAAGACCTTCCAGACTACATAAAATCATATGTGTTACATATGGTTAAACTCGTATTGAATAGAAGATTCCAATAATGACTAAATATACAGGGTGATAAATTTGGAAAACCAAAGTGACTAATAATTTAAGAAAAACGGCAAATCCGGCAACATTGCAAATATCAAATATGGAATCAACGTATCCTAAAATAGGTGTACCCCAAATTTTGTACAATTACGACTAGCAATTTACGAGATAATTGACCATTTCCAGACTTTTGGGCCACTCTGTATATCCAAGACAGATATGATTATTTACAAAATTTCTGGAGCCAACACGGATGATCCTCGGCAGAAATGCAATATTTGGATAATACATTAATGCCAAGTTTGCGATGTTTTTAACTGTAGTAATGTAATTACGTTTTCTTGCAATACTGTTGTATTTAAATTATCCAAAAAAAATTACGTCTGACAACAGCGTAACTAGGCTTGACCTATATTGTAGTATTTGTAAGTAGGGTCGTAGATTTCTTTCATTTATACAATTCCTTCGATACACTACTAGTCCAGGAGCCAGTGCATTTTTTTTGTACTTATTTTCCTGATCGGTGTATATTCAAATAATATTTTCCCAGTGAATTGTATATTTAAAATGAAACGCCAGTCTCTATTACCAAAAGTAGGCCAAATTGAATTCACGCATTACATACAATGTGAGATTGCGCACAAAGTGCCTTGGAAGGCCTATTTTGACGGAGTCCGACATTTGGGCGCGACCGTTTGGGCGCGAGGTCGTTTGGGCGCGGGAATTTAGATTAATGGGTTATATTTTTCGAATTTGT